TATATATATATACAAGCTTTAATTATTACTTGATTATGTGGAGTTCAAACGTGTAAGCGCGCATTCATATTATATATCCACTTGTAGGCTTAGAATAAATAATGTACACCAGCACACTGAAAACACAAGTGCATCGACACAGAGATGCAAAATTTATGCGTGAAAGTGAAACAGGGTGGGGTCGACGGATAAAAGGTTTAAAGGTTGGGGATGGGAGAGGTGGGGGTCAAAAGCAATTTAAAACATGGGTCTTGCGGGGTAATTGCGGGGCATATGCTATGACATAATAATAATACGTGTATCTTGCGGTCGAGAACAAAATTCGGTACGGAATCGTCTAAACGAAAAAGAAAAGTGTAGGCCTAGCCTAAATAATCCCCCCCCCCCCTTTTTTTTATCCCATTATCCTCCGAATGAACTTTCACCCCTGACCTTTGCTTTGTTTCGTTTACTGCTAAATTCCTCAGACATTCGTCATGGTCTGCTAAACAGAACTGAAAGAATAATTACGCAAGGTATTTAGAAGCTGAATTATACAGTAACAAAATGACGAAACTTAAAGTAAAATGTACAGAAGAATGATAACAGGGAATGGGATGAGTCACAAACAAATGTTGAAGATCAACACTGCAGATCTATTTCACCCGTGCAGGCATGATGAAGTTTCGGTGAAACGAAATACACTTTGCCAGCTTGTAAGCAGTGGAAAGCCAACAGCCTTGCTCTTGGCAGTAAGTTTACGTTGGCCCCTTCTTGTAATACGAACAAAAAAATAACAACAATCATGCTGTGCACACTGGTGTGGTATCAATAGAGGTCTTGTAGACAGCAATGGTTTGTCAAAACAAAATTATGGGATGAAAAGTGATTAGCTGAACAATTTGTGTTATGAACAAGTAGATCTAAAAGAATTGTGAGAACTAAAACACATCACATCATAAAGATGAGCTATATTCCTTAATAGATCTACCCCCACAACTTGAAATTGGGTAAATACATTTACAACAAGCTTTGATAAGGAATAAATAATGATGACCACATTGATGAATGAGCGATTTGTTCTTTGCATAACAAACGACCAGCTTTTGATTCATATCTGGCAGAACAAGGTTCCAGGAGTGCTTGCTCTGGACTTCCGTCTTCGGCGACTTCCCGTTTTTCCCAACCCTCTTTATGGGGTTCATTATAGCGAAAGTTCCAAGAGTTTCTCGTAACTTTTCTTTGTAAGTAAACATGTTTAATTACCAGTCCATCACATGTTCATTTTGACAGACAAGACAGCTTAGTAGTTTTCGTTTATTGTTGTTGACTTTCTCGTTTTCGATTCCACTTTCATGTTTACGGGCAACCCGTCTGCCACCCGAGAGATAAGACAGCACTTTGCCTTTGGCAGATGAATCCTGGTTCCAGTCTTGAGATCGATACTCATGAGTGAGATGAGTCACCATGAATGGTATTGGTCACAACGTGTGATTCACATTGTTTCATGTTTATAAGAACTAGGCTAGATCTAGATCTATCTCTTTGTTGCTCTGTGCTGTGTTGGACCAGGTCAGCACTGCCCTGGGTAGTAGTAGTATTCAATCTTGCTCTTTCACTTTACTTTGACTTTTGACTTGGGATGTTCACTAAGTAGTGCAGTAAGACTGTAAGTAGCGAGTCTCCTCATTCTCTCTCACTTAATCTTGTTGATTGAACTAGATTTGTAGATGCTGTTACTGTTGTTGGTAAGGGGAGGACTTCCTTTATAACAAACGATCACTTTGAGACAAAGTAGAACAGAAGAGGGATAGGGGTAGGGTTTGTGTTTGTTAGGTTGGTCGTTCATGATGAGTGCAAAATATGTGTTGGCTGTCGTTATTGACACGGGGTGAAAATAAAAAGGAAGTGCCTATTTGCAACGCCGCGTTGCGATTAGCGCCAGTGCTAAATATAAAACGCAGCGTTGCGAATAGTGCCAGTGCTAAATATAAAATGCCGTGTGTATGAATCTTATCTACCTTTCGTTGTTGGAAGTTCTGATGGCCAAAGGGACAGCGCATCTCTGCGTTTGAAGCCAAACCATTATTTTATGGCCGGCACTATTTCTCCGAACGTTCGGGAAAATAAAGCTGGGCACTATTTCTCCGAACACTCTGAAATCACACCCTTTCCCGCATATTTCGGATAATAAAAATAAAATATAGATCTACTATAATTATATTATAAGCCTACCAAAGATTGTTCGTATACAATATGGTTCAATCGGTCCAAAAAATGTCCGTATTTATATAAAGAAATGCTACAGTTCCAAACAGTTTTTCGCTACAGATATGACGTGTGGCCTATGAAGGGTGCTGCTCTTAAACTTAATGTGTTGCGTTCACTCGTGAGCTGTCTAGATCTAGATCTATGGAGGGTTATTGATAACGACACATAGAGCTAGCATCTGCGTTTGTCGAGGCCGCGACCAATCAATCGTAGCTCGATTTTTTGGTCCCCGAAAAAGTCAAAAAAAAAGAAAAGAAAATGAAACTCTTTACTTTTGAAAGAAAGTTCACTTAGCTTCACTTCGTCTCTTTCTCACTTGTTGTCACCACGTTGATTTGTTGAATACGTTACAGTTACATACGATTTGTATTGCTGTTCCTCTTTTATTTTTCGTTCATTTTTCCCTCTTTGTGGTGTTATATTTTGTTGGTGTGTATTTTTTTTTCTTGTTATTGTTCTGATGTGTTGTTTTTCTATTAATTTTTTTTTTGTTGGGGAAAAGGGGGGGGGGGGGGGTTGTATAGTGTAACGTCATTTAATTTGAATTTCCTACAAAAGGTATTGTGTAACGGCATTTAATTTGATGTTCCTACCTTCATTAGATTCTAAATATATATACCTGTATAGATTTAAATGTGCTATGTTAGAGCGTTCCACCAAAACCAATTACATGTACTGACACTGGCAGGCCCCCTGTGTGTGATTCCATAATTTCCATGCAATATCCTGTACTTTTTTCAAACAAATTACGCACATTTAGGGTTAAAACGGTCAATCTTCTTCGGACAGGTGGACACACGCCCTTATATGTTAATTGTTGTGGTTGTTTCTGGGCTGTTCTAGTTTTGATTTCATTCTGTTGTGAAACCTTTCTTTTTCACGTTTTTACACTCATCTAAAAATCTCTAGACTAGATCTAGCTCTTGAAAATTGAAATAGATCTAAACCCAAAAATTTGCTCCGTTTTTTTTTTTAATGGACGATAACCGTCCACTCAATAGAAAAGAGGGTCAGATTTCTCCGTCTCTCGGGTGCCTCAGGCAGTACCCGCCTCGCTAAACCAGTGGGCACACGGCCGGAGGAGAAGCTGAGAACAGATACCACCTTTGATTTGCTCCTTCCCAGACCTCGCAGAATGACGGAATGAAAGTTGGCGCCGAACTCTCGCAAATAGGCGAACAATCACGACCAGAGCGGAAGCCGGAAACCGTTCGGAGAAATAAAGATCGGCACTATTTCTCCGAACGTTCGGAGAAATAGTCACTTCGTTATTTTATGGGCATGGGTTCGATCCCGGTGCTGGAAGTTTTTTTTTCCTATTTTTTGTCCTGTCCTCAACTGACCAACAAATTTTTCCCATAAAAATTAGAACTTGTTGCTTTGTAGTTTTTTTTAAATGTAAGTAATGAAGCATGCATTCTGGTTTTGTCCCCAAGAGGAGCTCTGTACAAAGTTAAGTAGGCCTTAGTATTTAACCTATACTTTTCCTTTTACAAATTTAGGCCTGGTTAAAGTTCAATAGTGGCTTTCCTTGGTCTGTGAGTCTGAAAAAAAACAACCTGGGACCGGGATTCGATGCCCCGTTCGGAGGCACTGTACTTTAGACTTGAGAACGTAGACAGCTTGTACATTCTCTAGGCCTAACTTAATCTTGTCCTGCGTCTGTGCTGGCGAATCTAACCAGCATCCGATTACGTTGGACATTCCGGGCAGGCCGCCGGGGTCACTCAGTGTGTACTGTTGGTGTACAGCGAGCGGGCCTAGAAACGTGTTCTCGCCATGAATACCGTGGGAGTGTGTTAATCGATGATGAAAGTAACGCTCTCTCTTTTATAGCTTTTTATAAAATAAAGTGTTGCGAACACATGAATCCCCCTTCATTTATATATAATAAGCTGATAAGACATTACGAGTAGATACGCTCATTTAAAAAAATAACCTATTTAGATGCTCTTGTTGTTATGAATGACGGGGGGTTCGAAAGGGGATAATAAAGGTCAATTTCCGAATGCTTTGCACTCAAATTTTTCTTTTTACCTGCACAATGGTATATCAAAATTATCAAACAAGCTTATTTTTTATCAGGTAGTATCGTTTCATACCAAATCAAGCTCATTTGAAAGAAAAATGGAACTCTTGTTTCCTGACTATCCTTTCGAGCTCCCCATGTCTAAGTGGGTCAGTTTGTTCTATAATTTAATTAAACGAACATCTAGAGCTACCAACTTGGCGTGTTTTGAATGAGACGTATGCCTTGGTTACGAACCAAAGCAGTTGGTTCTAGAAGAAGGCCTCAAACGCACACAAACTCAAGCAGACTGACGCACCCACACTTGAGCTGCGTGAATGCGGATGCGACGCGCTACCCGAATTGAACGGGAGATGGTGCGCGTGCGCTGAGCCAGGGGCCAGACTGACGCGGGACCAGAACGAAGGCGAGGTGCCGAAATAGGCTTATCGGGAGACATAAACCCGGTCCCCGCAGGACGAGGGTTAAAGTTAAAGATCATATTTTTAGGTAGATCTATTGTGTGAGGACACTGCAGACAGGAAATTAAATACTGCTCGAGTTGCACCGTCTTGTTATTGTTATCCAAGCGTCTTTCGACTTACGTGCTCAAACTCAAATGATCGTTATTATGAGATAAACAAGACTACATCTAGTCTACTTTTGTGCCAACAATGTCAGAAACAATTGTTAAATCTAATCTAGATCTAGGTCTATATTCTACCTTATATTGATCGGAATAGGAAGAGGCTAGACTCAGTCTAGCCGTACTTATTCTTATGATGGCTAGACTGACCATTTACAAAAAATAGGCCTACTGAATTGTAAATATACATTTTTAGTGTGCAGTACCTAAAGTATTTGTATTTGAGACGAAACCAGGTGCCTTAATGACAGTGCATGTATTTTAAACCTCCTGTTTCCTAATGTTAATAGGGCCTAAGATAAGTACGGGACTGGCAGTCTAGCCGTACTTAAGTACGGGTAGACAGCCAGGCTAGCTGTACTTAATATTGATGGCTGATTTGTAAATGAAATTTTTAGTTTGCAATACCTAAAGTATTTGTATTTCAGACAAAACCAAAAGGTGCCTTACTGACTTGCATGTATTTGAACCTGAATAATTACTAGATCTAAATCTAGATCTAGATCTACATCTAGATCTAGATCTAGATCTAGATCTAAATCTAATGAGACCTGTGTACTTAACAGGCTTGAGTCGATTGGGCCAAACCTAGATCTAAGTACGGCTAGACTGGCAGTCTAGCAGTATTTAAGTACGGCTAGACTCTCAGTCTAGCCGTACTTAAGTACGGCTAGCCACTTCGATCGGAATAAGACAATGTCAAAAAAAAAATTTGTCAGATCCTGGAGGTTTATCAAGAAACGGAGAAAGCTTCCACAATTCAGGCAGGACTATAATAATTATTTAGAAACGATGGCTACTAGATCTAGATCTAGATTCTAGTACTGGCATTTCAAATAGCATGGGAGCTGTTCAGAACGCGGCGTTGCAAATAGCGCCTACCAAATAAAAATATAATTTATTCTCAGTTATTGTCACCCCGGGTGAGAATAAAATGGATATTATTCTCACCCGTTCTGAGGATGCAATGGATTTTTATTGTTAAGAATGGGTAGGCCTACATAGGATGATGGAAAATCATTTGTGAAATATTTAAGAGTGACCGTTCATGACCTGCCCCCGAGCGCTGGCTCATTTTTTAGGCTCCCGCGGGGGATGTTATTGTTTCATTTTTTTAAATCTTGAGAGTAGGCCTATGCATGCAATATATCTTCACCAAAACCTTAAGCAAGTGTATATATTCTGAATTCAGAAAGGAATTAACTTGCTACAGCAGTATGTTTTTTTAAATAATAGCCTAAACTGAAAGCTGTTTAATTAAATAATGTGAGTAATAGTATGTCATTGCAATGTTAGAATTGGATTTGTTTGCAGCACAATAAACATGTTATCCTCAACAGAACCCATAATGACCCTAGGCTTATTTTTTTCTTCATTTTGATTGGTTTGAGCCATTCAAAAGTAAAATTTTCCATTACCAATAATGGCAACAAAAGGTGACACTATATTTGCTCAAAAGATCAGGTTTTCCCCCAAATCGACAATAGTCGTGTCCTGCAATTTCAAACAACAGTTGCCTCGCGCGCTCAGCGGAGTGATAGAGGGAGGCGAGTTTTGTCTCCTGGCGTGCTTTGTGACAGGATGGGGGTGGGGGGGGGTGGGAGTCCTATGGATGCCCGAAACGAAATAAAAAGGGCGGAAACGAAAAAACCGGGTGAGAATACTAGGCTGACGTTAATCTCACCCGGGGTGAAAAGTATCCATTTTATCCTCACCCCGGGTGAGAATAATCACAGTGTATATTTTGTCATGTTGGGGGGGGGCGGGGTGGGGGGGGGCATCTTTTTTTGTAGAGTGAGTCCAAACTCAGTAATCTAGTCTTTCTTTTTGACTTATTGTTTTAAAGTAGGTTCCTCTTCATCTTAGATCTAGACCTAGTCCTAGGCTAGGTCTACCCCTCAACATTGAAAAAAAATTATGCTTAAAAGTGCATTTTAAGGTGCGTAAATTCTTAGACTCAGTGCAACAATGTATCTTGTGTTTGTAGCACATTATTAGACCCAATGTACAACAAACACAATACTTCAGTTTGTAGCCCAAACAACAATTTGACATGTCAATACAATGTCAATGTTTGTATCACTTGCGTTTGTAGCACATTTGTAGGGGATAATTGTCAACTATAGTCCTTAGCATGACAAGAAACATGTCTCGTCTCGAAACCTGCGAAAAACAAATTCATAGAGATAGGATGGGAAGAGATCACGGGATGTGCCGAACTGTCTGGGCAATTTTTGTTTAGCGCGCATCCACATGTTCTCGACGTGTTCGGTGTGGATATCTGGATTGTCTGGGTCAAGAAAGTGATGCTGGTGAACAACTGATAATTTACTTGCACCAATCTATTCAATTTTTTTAACAAGTTATTGCTGTACATTGGGTCTAATAAACAATAAGGTGTTGTTGTTGTACACTGAGTCTAATAATTTACGCACCTAAAATGCACTTTTACCAAAAATTCTTTCTTCCCAACAAAGTCAAAGTCAAAGAACACGAACCCTGGATGGAGTGAAACTGAGATAAAGACCAAATTCCCCTTGCCTTTTTTTTTTTCCCTCCCACTTTCTGTGTAATGTAAAGATTGAGAAGAAACCCACTGCTCTTACAAATGGCCTTCAAGTGAAAGTAAATAGAATTATTATTTTGAGGATGGAGTGAAATGATCTACGCAGTATAATAATGGTATAATGTGGTATGAGACTTAACTTTAGCAGTTAATGTGTAGGTCATCCATCTTTATTTTAAAAAACCTGAATCAGATACTATACTTACTCTCACAATCAGCAATGGAAAGCAAACAAAGAAAAACAGGGGAAAGTCCACCACCAACCTAAGAAAATTGGAAGAACCAGACATCAAGAAGGCAATCGAAGACGACATTACCAAGGAGTACCATAAGCTGTCACCTGAGATATGATCATAATTTATCAATATATATTTCTGAGTTTTCAGGATATTTCTATTTCTAGAGCAGCTAGTTTTTGTACAATAATTATATTATATATTTATATTCAGTACTCAATTTACAATACTCAGGTATTATATAGGAAGATTGCAGCGTTTGGTTTTCTCCAGGCCCTCCATAATTGTCATGTTACACGTCTAGAACTTATTTTTACAAAAAATTTATTATTTGAAGACAAAACACTAATTTAATAACTTATGACAAAACTGGCTTACTACCTCTATAATCTTTTTAGAGCTAATAAGCTCTTGTGTACTCTTGTTGACTTGACAGTGTGGTAATAGAATATTGATATATATAGAGTTAGTTATGAGCAGATCGTATTCAGTGCCTTCATTATAATAACATTGTTTACCATACAAAGTTATATTTTTTTGGATAGGTGAGATTTGTTTCATAACGAATATGTTTTACTGGTCAGCTTTTTATTTTTAGAAAACCTGCATGATCTAGTTCTTTGATAACAATAATGATAAAGATAATGATAAGTAAATAATTATAATAATAATAGATTGCATTTTTATTATAGAGCTCTGTCTCATACACATGATAAGCTCGGGTGCTTTACATTGTTCACATGTTTTTCACTGAGCGTAACATTCATTCACACAAAAAAATAAAACATTTTCTAGTTACAAAAAAAACCAACAGTTCAACCTCATAAGGAAGAACTTTCTCAACCAAATTCAACCATACTTTACTTTTATATGGTAAGGACAGCAGTAAAAACAGAACATACTAACACAATACAACTAAGTAAGAATTTACTAGAGTCTTGAGCAATCCCTTGCACGTATTAGTATTAGGATATATAGTAATTTAATATTAGATGTCATTTGTATAGTGAAAATTCCTACTCAACAGCAAGCTTTATGTATATGCTTTACATTCAATATTATTACCCTAGCAGACCTGATAGCAAACTGAAACAATCTCAACTTACTGAGAAACATACAGCACCATTTAGGGCATACACAAGTTCTTTCGCTGCGTATGACCAAGTACTCATTCACACCTGGGTGAAGTGAGGAAAATTTATGTAAAGTGCCTTTCCCAAGGACACGACAGCAGGCCTGAGGATGGATCGTCTGAACTCGCAACCTTATGATTATGAGTCTCTGGTAGCCTAACCACTAGACTACCGACTTTACTTTTATCCGCTGCTTACACCCTTTTGGGTGTCGCGGGAAGAAAGAGACGTCTCTCTGTCGCCAGCCGGAGAGCTTGGGTCAGGGGGATGCCGTAGGTGTTTAATGTTTCCCTGACTCCATCTATCCAGGTCTTTCTTGGTCGCCCTCTAGCCTTGTTGCCTTCAAATTTTTTTAGGTAGGCACGTTGTGCTGGATGGTGTGTTGGTAATCGTAGGAGATGTCCGAACCATTTGATTTTTGGGTGTTGGATGTGATGCATGACAATGACATCATTTGTTCCCACCATTTCTCAGATTACAGAGTTTCAAATTTTGTCTCGCCTGGTCTTGTTTACTGCTTTTCTAAAGTATTGCATTTCACATGTAATTCTTTGCTCTAATGTCTTGTTCGTGGTCCATGTTGGGCATTGATAAGTGAGTGTTGGGATGAATATGGTGTTGATCATTTTGAGTTTTATTGTAATGGTGATGTTAGGATGTTTCAGTAGTGGAGTAAGCTGGTAAAACACAAAAAGGAGAAGAAATGGACTGACAAGACTACCGACACCATGACATAATAAGGGTTTTTTTTGTTCCCAGAGAGCTGAGGGAGTTGCTGTGAGCTGGTCCCCTGTGTCAAGTGTAGACGGGTCCAGTCATGTCGGAAAATGGCGAGAAGCCGCCCGCCCCTCCTGTCAGGTTGGAGAGCACCAGGTAAAGTTTCCATGTGCTGAAGTTGGAGTTGTGAAAATTTGACATTTGTGGTAAAGCTGTAGTTAGTTGTAAGAATTCGACATGATGTTGAATCGTTTACATTACAAAGCGCTCTGTCCACCCTCTTTCATCTGTTTATTACAGGAGGTAGAGTCATTATTTATGAGTCTCAACCAGCGTCTGTGGCGTAGCAGTTAGGCACTTCGCTGTTGCATGCAGGGGACCTTAGTGGGATTCCTGATTGGGAAGACAATTTACTCGGTCTTTCTGCTGGAATGTTGTAATCCTCTCAGCCAAGGTTGGCCCTGACAGGCATGGTTGGAAGCCCACCTCTTAAAGGATCGAAATTGTGTCAATAGGGTGTAATAACACCAACATAAAAAAAAAAGATCAATAATAAGTGATGATAGATTAATTACTGTGTTTATTTCGTCATTATATATCAATCTTTGCAGACACCGCTTTTCAGGTTAAACTACAAGGGCTTGCAGAGTTTTCCAATAGATATTTTTTTCGCACTGACACGACAATGATATTTTTTTAATGGATTGTTTTTGTTTTTACACACTTCCTTGATAGTCTCAATACCACAATTGATAACATTTGTTGTAGTTATTATCAATTCAGCAACAGCTGGGCTCTCGCCTTTTTCTCTGTCATTCTTCAGTGATAAGTGCAGGTTTGCTGCAGTTGCTGTGATGTGATATTCAGTAGAGTATATTGTTAATGTCTGATTTCGGATGGAGAACCGTTGCTCTGATATATATATATCATTTAGGGCTGTGCAGTGAAACAGACGAGGACCCACAGTCTTGTACATGAACTTTTAATGGTTCAGATTTTCAATGTTTTCAGAATGTTTAATGCAGAAAGACTAATGAATGCATTTGATTATAAATAGGATTTTGTTGTTTAAACTTAAACTTTGTTTAAAAATTGGATGTTTGCCTAGTGTCCGTTTGTGACTTTTGAGTGTTGTGCATGTCACCCTGACATGTGGCTATGTATGTCGACCTGTCTCAGCTATCGCTACTCTTGATTTAAACAGACTGTGGTAATGAAATTTGACTGTTGTTCTCCCCCACCAGGGCAGTGCTACTGACCGAAGTTGTCTTTAGGCCATTCCCAAAGGGGAAATATTAACTTGTTCTTATGCACAGTAGAATTGTGAATGGGCGGATTTATCAATGTCTTGCTCATACTGTGCCGGAACAACATAGGGGGACCTGCTGCTTTTTCTTTCCTCATCCTTACTATCGTCATTTTCCTCTACCTCTTTTGCATGTTTGTCACTCTCTTGTGAACTGCTATTTCCGGGATGCCTTGATAGTCGAAGCAGATTGTCTGCTTTTGAGGCTAGAGAGGTGAGCCGAGTAAGCCTGATTCCCTGTTTGGACTTCACTGTTGACATCCTCCTCTTGGTGCTCATATTATGACCTTATGCAGTTGCGAGCGACGTAAAACCTTACTAAAACTAAAAAACTGTTGTTCTGATTTATGCTCAGTTTATGTATTATATTATTTCTTACAACCTTGTCAGATTGCCTGATAATTTGGGTTCATGCTCGCTTCGTTCATTTTGTATCGTAGCCAAATAGAGTTTGCCTCCACTGACAGCAATAACGCTGTGCTGATTAAAATGTGAAAGTGATAGAGACTTGTTTTAATTTTGTGACCTACTTCCTGTTGAAAGGACCTTTCTGTCTAGATAAATCTTGCTTTCATTGATACTGGGGTGCTAATACTTTTGGTTTTATTAGCTCACACTTTATGTTTGCCTTTTTGCTGCTCTATTTTTTTTTTCTACTGAAAATAATCAAACTGAATATTTATTTTTTGCTGCTCATTCTATTACCTCAGGTAATGAGTAAAATATGCTGCGGAATTATAGTTTTCTACCGATTTGTTTTGTGGTCAAATTTTGTTTCAGTATGTTTCCCTGTTCTCATTCTTCAAAGTTGTCAGACAATTTGCATTTGCTCTTAACATTTCCTGCCTGCTTGATTATAATTTTTTAAGGTAAATTTGGCTCAAATTGTATGTTTGTATTAATAATTTTTGTCTCAATGACAAAATGAATGCACTACTAGGAATGTGGCGACACTGCCCAAGGCCGGCGCGAGCAAAAGAATTGTGGGCAATAGCCCCGCTGAAAGCATGCAGTCGTTGGTTCCCAACAGGTATCCAAAGTGTGGGCTTCTTATTTTATTTTAGGTTTGAATCTGCTTTCCGGCTGGTGGTGACGGGGCTCTCTGCTTGATTACTTGATTTGTAGTGGGTCTACTCTGACTGTAATTTACTGTAGGTTCAAATCTGCTTTCCATCATCCAGCCTGTGCCAGGGCTGTTTGCTTGACTTCTAGTTCGGGGCTGTGTGGCTGTTGAGTATTCAAGCTTCTTATTGCATTGTCTCTTCTTTTTCTACTCCAAGATGATAATATTTTTGTACTTGAATGTTTTTATCATGAGTTTGAGAAGTTCCGGTTATGAGAATGGAAAATTAAACACTTTTATTTTGGGTTTTGGAGCCTGATTTTTTTTTGCTTTAAGATACCTTCTTTGACTTTTTGCTTCTATTACGAATACTGAGATTTTCAGCTGCAACAAAGTTGTTAGATTAGATTGTGTCTGCATTATCTAAGTTATCTCTCTTCCTGGAATGCACTCTGGGACACATTCTAAATTAATTTACTTTAGACCTTTTATTCCAAAGTTTAAATTGTAATAGAACTTAACTTTTAGCTTGAGTTGAAAATATATAGAGGTTTAGAATTTCAAAAAAATTGCAAACATAGAAGTATCAAAGATTTTCTTTGTGGGTGGTTGTTGCTTCAGCGTGGTTTGCTCCTTTTTTCCTATCAAATATATATTGTCCTTATCTCCCCTCCTTTTTTGTTTTGTTACTCGCTTGTAACAGCTCTAATCTTTGGCATTTATTTGATCTTATTTGGAAGTGCTGTAGAACTCTTATTAAACTAAGAGGTTTTCGTTTAGCCTAAAGTCAAAGCTTTATACGTGGGTGTTGGCGGGTGCTCTGGTGTGGTTTGCTTCTTCTTTCCTATCAAACATCTATCGTCCTTATCTCCCCTCCTTCTTTTTTATGTTTGTTACTCTCTTGTAACACCTCTTATCTTCTGGCGCTCATATGACCTTATGCAGTTGCATGCACTGTAAAACCTTTACTGAGACAAAACGTACAGCTTTATACTTTTTCATTACACCATTGACACATTATGTCATGCATGACAATGTGGTGACTGGAGAATATTTATGTTCTCTTAGTTTTCCTGCCCCCTCTACATTTTACACAAAAAGTGCCCAAAGTAATGAAATAGGTAAATACAGTTTCATAAAACCACTGTACTGATTGGCTACCTTATATTAAATAAAGGTGCCTTGAAAAAGTATTGCATTAGTGGACTGCTGTGTCAGTGTTCTGCTCAATGCTTTTGGAGATGGATGGTAAACTCAAAGTTTCTGCTCGCAAGTAATTTGAGAGGGTCGTTAAAGTTAAACCCATCATATTCACTTACATTTATTTACTTTCCATTTTAATTCTTATCAAGGCTGCACTAGATGCCTCTTTCCTTCTATAATAGAACTAAAGCTGCTGCTGTTGCGCTTCTTATTTGCTTGTGAATGTCTGTTCTTTAAGCGTGGAGTTTCGCGGCTTCATGTGATTGTTTTTGCAGGGAATCTCATTTTATTGTTATCATTTCCAGATCTCCTGTCTCCTTATAATTACATACATGTACATAATAATGATGATGCTTATGCTCCCACCGAGTAACTAATTTCTGGAAAATTCTTTACCACACTAAACCCCCTCCCCCCCAACTTTTGATTTAGATGATACAAGCAGAAACAAAAGTTCGGTGACATTACTTTTTAAAAAAATACCAATGATGGTGCATGCAGACTCCAGACTTTTATTGAGTATCCACCAATCCATTTTGGCAGAGGGTTGAGGATTTTTTAAAACTTGTTGATGATAACACCTTCGATACGTATTTGTGTGTGTTTGTGTGTGTATGTGGAAATTAGAGGTGGGTGGTTGGCGGGTGCTCTGGTGTGGTTTGCTTCTTCTTTCCTATGAAACATCTATCGTCCTTATCTCCTCTTCTTCATTTTTATGTTTGTTACTCTCTTGTAACACCTCTTATCTTCTGGCGCTCATATGACCTTATGCAGTTGCGAGTGCCGTAAAACCTCTACTAAAACTAAACTAGAGGTCGGTACATGTCAATGTGTCTTGCCATAATAATGTCAAGCACATAAGAGAGGTGTCAATGCATGCTGTTCTCTATCAAGAAAAGTGGGTCACAAGAGGCTGCTAGTTGAACCATTCGCTGTACTTGTTCTATGCAGTTTCCCCTTATTATTAGTATTTCATACGGTAGTCATCTTTACTCATTTTGTCTTTTGAACAGTCAACAAATCAGCATCTGTCAGTGTAGTGGTTAGGGTCTTTGCTGCCCCATGCAGGAGACTCGAGTTTGATTCTCGAGTGGGGAGGATTTTTTTTATTGAGTATCACAGTCTTTGTACTTGGATGTTGTATCCCTCTCAACCCAGGTTGGCCCTGACAGGCAGGGTCGGAAACCTGCCTTCTAACTGATCGAAATTGTGTTAATGGGGTTGTAAAAAAACACCCACATAAAAACAGTAATGATAACTGTTGAAACTTGTTGAGGGTTTTCCCCATGTTTGTTATTATTGTTCGTGTTTTGTATTTTGATTGGGTGGCGTCGGTAGCCTAGTGGTTAGGCTACCGGACTCGTAATCGTGATATTGCGGGTTCGGGGGTTCGAGCGTCAGCTCGGTCCGACGTTGTGTCCTTGGGAAAGGCACTTTACACGAACTTCCCACTTGGCTTGGTCCTATCGGAGACAGACGTTAAATTAGGAGGTCCCGCCTCTTAAATAACCTAATAGTGTTGATAGGGGCGTTAAACTCATAGCATTTCATCATCATTTTTCATTTTGATTGTGGTGGATCATTTGTAGGGCCTACTCTTTTGATTGATCTTTTCTGTCTTAGAGTACCGGTACTGTTAGTTTTTCTTGTCGCAACATTTAGCTTATGAATAGTTTGGCAGATATTTGGGTTCTGGACAGATAAAATGCATTGCTTTTCTGGTTATGGCTCTCTCATCTTCACTTCAATTTTTGTGAGTTTTTGTATTTAATTGGTTAGCAGGTGCCTTGGTGTGGTTTGCTCCTTTTGCTTCTTGTACCATGATGTTATTGATTATGTTTTATATGAGGGGATTGTTGGGTGTTCTTTTTGGTTCTTTTCCTTCTACATCCCTCCCCTCACCCCCCCCATCCCCTGCATTACTTCTGTGTTGCTATGCTCTTTGAGAAGAAATGGCGCCATTTTCAGACTCGCTTCTTTTACCGGGAAATGGACTGTGGGAAGTCTTAGGCCTATTTTCTGGCTCTTGGATGACTTTGTGGTCTATCTAATGAAAACTGAAAAATGTTATACTATTATGCATGATTGTTTTGAACGGCTGGAATTGTTTTTGTCCCCTAATGGTTTTCGTAGTTTTGATTGTAAAATCGAAAGTTGATCAGTATTTATTTTGAAATTTTCCTTTAAAAAAAATTAAATATTATGTTGGAAAATGGTGTTGGTTATGATATCTATGCAGCTCTCGGAAATGCTCCCATGTTTTGATGCTTAACAATAGTGTTTAAGTTTAAGCGCAATTTTTATTTCTTGTTTCTCTTATTGGCATACACATATCTCTTTTTGCAGTGGAATTTTTGTCCGTATTTTATTGCCACTCCGATGTGTTTGTTTTGTGTGTGTTGACGTACATGTGTGGCAGAATGTGTTTCAAGTTTCTGTTTTCCCTTATTGCGCTGATATGTTATGTTATGTTTTTGGCAGAGAGAATCGTGTTTTCGCTACTTATATCTTCCTATTTTCCTTCCTTTGGTCTGCAAGGGACTGCATTTGTTATTATCATGAACATAGGTGTGGACTTATTTCTCTATCGGCTTATTTCGCAAATATCCTTGCTGCCTGTGTTTCATGATGCTTTCAAACGTTTGTGTGTAATAATTGTATCAAGCTGACTTCTGAACGTCGGCATCGATTGTAGTTTGGTCAAAATATCGACAAATACTGTTCTTTTAATTGTTTGTAAGATGTCTGATTTATGGGTTTTTTAAATTTCCACCTGTGTCCTTTCAAGAATTGTGTGTATACGTGTAACTATTATTATAAAAAAGTACGAGGTGGTAAATTATAACAATAAGCCCATTGTTCCTTAAAGTCTTTGATATATAGTAAGTTTTTAAATTATACCGTTATCTAATTGAACGTCTCAGTCTTTCAGTCAGGATGTTTCTCACACCTCACAGTTCGAAGCAGCCTGCCTCATTAATGTTCTAAATTTGTAGATGGGGTCTTAAAAGTGTTTGCTACGATTTAGACATATGCATTGTATAGTTGTCCGTGTTTTAGCTAATACAGTTTTTGACCAATGTTAAAGCACTCCATTTGCTCAGTTGATATTATGCTATTTGAATCCTAGACTTGGTTTGAAGTGTCTCAGCCCACATGGCTCGGTCTTATCAGAGACAGACGTTAAATTTGGAATAAACTACTAGTGTTGATGGGGCAGTTAAATCCATACACTTATTTAACTGAAAACTGTATGGATGTGCCTTGGTGACCTTGGTGGGGTTTGCTCCTTCTCTCCTATCAAACATCTGTCATCCTAATCACGCCTTCTTTTTTGTGTTTGTTACTCGCTTGTAACACTTACTTGACTACTGTAGTTTAGATGTGTGGGTGACCATCACCACTTTCTGTCGCTGACCATCTGCACTTTCTTTAGGTGGGTGGTTGGCGGATGCTTTGGTGTGGTTTGCTCTTTCTTTCCCATCAAACATCTATTGTCCTTATCTTTCCTCCTTCTGCTTTGTGAATGTTTCTCTCGTGTATCACATCTATTCTTCGACACTTATATGACTTGATTGTGTTGCAAGTGCCTTAAAAACTTTTACTAATCCTAACGTTCTGTCGTTGACCATCTCCTCTGTCTGTCTTTGACCATCACCACTTTCGTTGACCATCTCCACATTCTGTCGTTGACATCTCCACGTTCTGTTGTTACCACAGGGAGACCTCACTGTCACAGGAGTACAAACCCCTGCCCAAAGAGCCGGACAGCAAAGAGGAAAAGAAAAAGCTGAAAACGGCCAAAGGTCAGTGCAGTGCTTTTGAAAATCTGTTTCCTCTCCGAGTGCCTTTTCTCTCTCTCTCTCTCTCTCTCTCTCTCTCTCTCTCTCTCTCTCTTTCCCCTCACCCCCCCCCTGCTCTAAGTACTTTTTCTTTTCTCTATCTTTATCCTCTCTTAACACTTTTTTTCTCCCTGTTTCCTTTGTTAGGGCTTATTTTTCCTCTTTTTTTCTTTTAGTGAGACTTAGTGCTTTTTTCCTCTCATAGTCCTCCACCCCCCCCCTCCTTAATGCTTTCTTTTTCCTTTTTTTTTCTCTCCTCGTGCTGTAAAACTGTTACCAAACAAACTTTCCTCTGTGGTGGTTACTGGTGGTCAGGTGAATTGACTTTTGACTACAAGAGGGGAGGGCAGGATCGATTGAGAAAATGATGGAACGCTTTTATGTATATATTTAGAAAAAAAAATCGCTTCGGACGTTTCGCCCAAAGACCTTTGTTGTTCAACGCACCCTGACACGCACAGACTTCCCATCCCCTTCCCCTCTTCTCCCCCCTCCCATTTCCCCCTCTTTCCCCTCCCCTTTTCCCCCTCCCCCCTTCCCCCTCCCCTCTTCCCCCTCCCCTCTTCCCTTCTTGGTGGGTGCTCTGGCACAGACATCTGTATTTTTTTCCCCCTATAATATCTTAAGCTGCTTACTGGGGTCTTAGTTTATTCCTTCTTTTGTTGTTCTTTCTTTGGTTCTTTCGTTTCTTTTATGATACTCTCTTATTCCTTCTATTGTTTTAGTTTTCTTCCCCTCTCGTTTACTTCTTTCCATCTAACCTCACTCCCCCCTTTCCAATAAAAACAATCAAGGGGAAAAAAAACAAACTAGAAAAAATATTTTAAAATGGACAACAGACAAACAAACAAACAAACAAACAACAACTGAAATACCTACCCCGAAGTAAATAACCTGTTCATAGTTGGCAGTTTTGTTCCGGTGAGCTAAAAGACAGACCAACGAGGCGGTTGGTTGGTGAGCTTCTATCAAACATCTCTATTGTCCTCGTTTGTCCTCCTTCTTTTCTATGTATATGTAACTCTCTCCTTACACCTCCAATCTTGGGCACCGTTTTTTTGGGGGGGGGGCCTGTTTTTGTTCCAAGCGCTGTAAAACTCTTAATTGAGACGTACCGGTTCCTAACTTAAACTTTGGGTTGTTGGCGGGTGCTCTGGTGTGTTTCGCTCCTTCTTTCTTTCAAACATCTAGTCTGTTGTCCTTATCTCCCCTCATCCTTTTTATGTTTGTTACTCTCTTGTTACACCTCTACTCTTCGGCACTTATATGACCTTATCGTGTTGCAAGTGCCGTAAAACTCTTGCTAAAACTAAAGAACTCATTGGCGGTTATTGTGTCCGTTCGTTTTTATTTATTCGAACTACAAACACCTATGTATGGGTGGTTGATGGGTGCTCTGGTTTTGATTTGCTCCTTCTTTCCTATCGAACATGCACTCTTTTTTTGTGGTTGCTACTCTTTTGTAACACCTGTAATCTTCGACGTTAATACGATCCAATGAAAACGAAACAAGAACGCCTATGTATTGCATCTTTCACACTAGAGTGACCGCAACGGGATTCGAACCCACTACCTTACGGTTGCAAGTCTTGAGAGCCTTACCATTAGGCAATTGACGCTGGATTTACGTTGGTACTTGGGGATCCCAGATTGTTGTGGCCACTGACCTGATTCATGTCACGCTCATAAATCATTAAATGTGCCTGATCTACAACAGAGAACTGCTGCTTTGTCTTTCCTAATCCTTACTATTGTCATTTTCCTCTACTTCTTTTGTATGTTTGTCACTCTCTTGTGACCCGCTTATTTGCGGGGTGCCTTGATAGTCGAAGCAGACCTTGTGCTGTTGAAGCTAGAGAGGTGAGCAGAGTAAGTCTGATTCCCTGTTATGACTTCTCTGTTGACACCCTACCCTTGTCGCTCATATGACCTTGTGCAGTTGCGAGTGCCGTAAAACCCTCTACTGTAACCCCCCCCCAAAAAAAAAACACAAAAAACCCAACAACAACAAAAACCAAAAAAACAACAACGGAAGTCCCTCCATTTAGCTGTTGCTCTGCCCTTCCTTACCTCATTCTTTACCCTCTGCGTCTGAGGTGTAGCGGTTGTCAGGCGCTTCGCTGTTGCTCGGAAGAGACCCGAGTTTAATTCCCGAGTGGGGAAAAGATTTATTAAGTGCATGACAATGTACCTTGGTCTTTCTGCTGGGATGTATCCATCTCATCCTGGGTTGGTCCAGGCTGGCAGGATCGGAAGCCCGCCTCCTAAATTATGAGCTAAATTGTCTCGGTAGGGGCGTTAAAACCCACCTACATTAACAACAACAACAACAACAACAACAACAACAACAACAACAACAACAACAACCCACCCTCTTTTTCTATTTAGGTTTCCTCACCAGGATGTGAGTGCTATTGTGCTGAGGTCAGTGTGATCTGCCTTCTTTCTGTCAGATAACAGAACAAAACAAACAAAGGAACAAACCACAAACCAAAGTCAAATCAAAACAAAATCCTACACATCAAATGGGGGCTCTCGTGGCCTAGAGGTTAAGGTGTTGGCCTCTCATTCAAAGGTCCCGGGTTCGAATCCGGGTAGCGACCGGAAAAT